GGCTCAGTAGTTAAGAACACTTAATTGTTCTTTTGGAGGACTGAGGTTCGGATCCCAGCATCCAAATGGTGACTCCACTTCTAGAGGATCCGATGACATCTGCTGCCTTCGGCAAGCATGTATGTGTTGCACATGTACACATGCAATATATAAATCTTTTTAAAAACAAAATGAAAATCAGGAACTTAGCTAGGTGTGGCACTGCCTGCCTTTAATTCCAGCACTCAGAAATGTAGGCAGATCACTTGACTCCAAGGCCAGTGTTCTGCATAACAAGTTCCAGGCCAACTGTGAGACCCTGTCTCTAAGCAAATAAATATTGGAAAATGGAGCTGGAGAAATAGCACAGTGGTTAAGAGTACTTGCTGCTTTTGCAGAGGACCCAGGGGATTTTAATGGGGACTGCAGTGAACACGCTGAGCATCTGGGGGTGTCGTATCTCAGCAATACAAAACCTTGCAGCTGGGCTGCAGATACATCTTGGAGAACCATGCAGGAGACCCTGGGTTTGATTCATAGCACCACTAGAAAGGAAAAGTAATGTTCTAGTCTGTAATCATGGTATATATTTCCTTCTTAAAGGTTGTTTTTACATTTTTAATAATGTTTAGTGGTTTGCAATGTATATTTAAAAAAATATATTCTTCTTTCTTTCTCTTTTTTCTTTTCTGGTTTGCTGAGAAAGGGTCTCATATATCCCAGGTTGGTATTGACCTCCTGCTCCTCCTGCCTCAACGTCAAGTGCTGGGATTACAGATGTATAAAACCCCAAGAACTCTGCCTCAACAAGGTGGAGGCAGAAGCTGAATTCCCAAAGCCATCTGGCCTCCACATGCATTCCATGGGATGTGCATATGTGCACAAGTGTAAACACATAATAAGTTAAGTAAAATATATTCCAAGTGTCTTATTTTTATGTTGTATGACCAGAATTATCTCTTTAATCTCGTTCCATGCTAGTCCATTACCACTGTGCAGAAGTACAATTGATTGTTTTGTATTAATCTCGTATCTGGCTCTTTTGCTGAACTTACTAGTTCTAATGCTATTTATTTATTTATTTATTTATTGGTTTTTCGAGACAGGGTTTCTCTGTGTAGCTCTGGAGCCTATACTGGCACTTTCTCTGGAGACCAGGCTGGCCTTGAACTCATAGAGATCCGCCTGCCTCTGCCTCCCGAGTGCTGGGATTAAAGGCGTGCGCCACCAACGCCCAGCTGCTTTTTATTTTTTATTTGGGGTTTTTGTTTGTTTGTTTGAGGCAGGATTTCACTGTGTAGGCTGTCCTGGAACTCACTCTGTAGACCAGGTTGGCCTCAAACTCAGAGATTCTCCTGCCTCTGCCTCCTGAGTGCAGGGACTAAAGATGTGTGCCACCACACCTGGCTCTAATGCAAAAACAAAAAACAAAAAACATAGACTTCTTGGGCCTTTATATATATAGGGGATGGTTTTCCTTCTTTCTATTCCAGATTTCTTTTACTTAGTTTTCTTGCCCCATTTCCTTGTCTAGACCCATCACTACGACCTGCAGACAAGTGTTGAGAGTGAGCATCCTCATGCTGTTGCTGATCTCAGGCAAAGGCATTCAGTCTTTTCACATTTACTGCAGTAGCTGTATATGGTGTCTTAGTCACTGTTTTATTGCTGTGAAAAGACACCATGACCAAGGCAACTCTCACAAAAGAAAGCATTTACACATTCAGAGGGTTAGGTTAGTCCACTATCCTGATAGGGAACATGGCGGGGTGCAGGCAGACATGGTGCTGGAGCACATCCTGATCCACAGGCACAGAGATAGGAGGTGTGGCCTGTCACTGGAAGTGGGCTTGGAGGTTCCAAAAGCCCATACAAGGCCCAGGCTCTCTCTAATTCTTCTAATCCTTCCAAATAGTGCCACTCCTTGGCCATTCTTATTCAAACTAACACTGGGCTTGTTTAATATTTTTCCCGTGTTAATTGGGACTTTTGTGGGTTTATTTATTTATTTATTTATTTATTTATTTATTGAGGTTTCTCTGTGGCTTTGGAAGCTGTCCTGGAACTAGCTCTTGTAGACCAGTCTGGTCTCAAACTCACAGATATCTACCTGTCTCTGCCTGCCAGGTGCTGGGATTAAAGGCATATGCTACCACCACCCAGCTTTCTTTTTTTTAATTATTTATTTTATTACTATGGCATATTACACAAATTGATTTTCATATGTCAAATCATCCTTGCATTCCTGAGATAAATATTACTTGGGATGTGTGTGTGTGTGTGTGTGTGTGTGTGTGTGTGTGTGTGTTTGATTTGTTAATATTGCTTTATTTAAAACATTATTTTAGGCCGGGCATTGGTGGCGCATGCCTTTAATCCCAGCACTTGGGAGGCAGAGCAGGTGGATCTCTGTGAGTTCGAGACCAGCCTGGTCTACAAGAGCTAGTTCCAGGACAGACACCAAAGCCACAGAGAAACCCTGTCTCCAAAAACAAAACAAAACAAAACACATTGTTTTAGTTAAAGGCTGGAGAGATAGATGGCTTAGTGGGGTTTTGTTTTGTTTTGTTTTGGATTGGTTTTTCGAGACACGGTTTCTCTGTGTAGCTTTGGAGCCTATCCTGGCACTCGCTCTAGAGACCAGGCTGGTCTCGAACTCACAGAGATCCGCCTGCCTCTGCTTCCCGAGTGCCGGGATTAAAGGCGTGCGCCACCAACAACCGTTGGCTTAGTGGTTAAGAGCACTCACTGGCTGTTCTTTTAGAGGACTAGTGTTTAATTCCCACATGCCAGCTCATAACTGTCTGCAACTCCAGCTCTAGGGGATCCAACACCGTCACACAGACATGCATGCAGGCAAAATGCCAATGCACATAAATTAAAAATAAATAGATAAAAACAAAATCTTAAGAATATTAATTATTGGCCGGGTGGTGGTGGCACATGCCTTTAATCCCAGCACTCAGGAGGCAGAGGCAGGTGGATCTCTGTGAGTACGAGACCAGCCTGGTCTACAAGAGCTAGTTCCAGGACAGCCTCCAAAGCCACAGAGAAACCCTGTCTCAAAAAAACCAAAAACAAAAAAACATTAATTATTACCCAGTCATGGTGTTACACACCTTTAATCCCAGCATTTGGGAGGCAGAAGCAGGCAAATCTCTGTGGGCTTGAGGCCAGCCTGGTCTACAGAGAGAGTTCCAGGACAGTCAAGGCTATATGGAGAAACCCTGTCTGGAAAAAGTTATTATTATTATTATTATTATTATTATTATTATTATTTATTATTTTGTGTGTGTGCAAGCACATTCATGCACATGCCATAGTGCACATGTCATATATATATACATATATATATATATATATATGTTTATGGAGAGAAAGAGAGAGGGGGGAGGTCCCTTGCCCCAGCTAGTTTCAATCTCCCACGTGCCAGCATTACAGGCATGGGCCACCAAGCCTAGCTAGCATTTTTGCTTTTCAAGTGAGAACAGAAAAAAAAAAGACGACTCCTCAGATGTAAGCAAATACAAAGCAGAGTGGACTCTGGAGCCCTTACGCCAGAGCAGGCACAGGCACCCACGCAGTGTGAATGCTGGTGAGAAGTACAGATTACACTTGGCTATCACTAGTGGAGAGTTGACACTGGCGTCCCTTGAGAATCCCAAGGCCTGTCAGGTGCTCTGAGGCTGTCTTTGACATTTGAGGGCACCCCAGGTATAGAGCTGCAAGCTGTCTTACGATGCCGGTTGCTGTCTTTTTATGGGACACTATCAGACAATGGCTCTCCAAATTCTGCCAATGCACAGAACACTCCCCAAAGTCTGGTCTCTCTAGCCTATTGTGTAAGGTAGTTCCTGCCACCCCACTGAGGTTGAGAGATTGCCAAACCACTCGGCCAGACCCCTGTCTTCATCTCACTGTGTTGAACATTTGCAAACCCCACATGACTCGGTCGATAGTGAGGGACCGTATGACGTCCAATTGGCTGGAGTAATTGTGTTGGGTGGGAGAGATCGAGGAGTTATCCGCTGCAGTGCTACAGGGTGCAGTGCTCCCGCCCCAACCTGGACCCACTGAAGGAGATCAGCAGGTGGTGGAGCAGGCATCCTCACCAGTCAAAATGACGGAGTGAGCCCCAGGACTGTCAGCTGTGGTCTACTCACTAAGAGGGTTCTACTGATATGCAATGCAGTGCGGGGCCTTGTACAGAAACCCACAGGGGATGAATTGTGAGGCTCCGGTTTTTCCTGTGCCTGGGAGCCAGGGGCGGGCCCTGCACGCAGGCGTTGTCAGCTGGCGGGGCAGGCGCAGTGCGCACGGTGGCGGCAGCGGCGACAGCAGGTGGGTCGCAGCGGGTCTAGCGGGACGGCTGCTGTGGGGATGTAAATGCACGCGAAGGCTTGAATGTCTGGGGGCCAGGGGCATAGCGGAGGCAGCCAGCCCCAGCAGCTGCGGCTGGGGCGCATATGGCGAGGGCAGGCGCCCCACAGCTTCCACATCCGGGGCTCCGGGCCCTTGCAGCCCTGGCCTCCTGGCCTCAGGTGAGCTGATCCTCCAACCTGTTAGAAGGGGTGATCGCTTTTCTCTGAGGCCAGGTGTCTCTTTGGCCTCCCTCCCGGCTGCAAGAGCCACTCCTGTTCCGGGTCCTGGCTGCCTGGCCCTGCTCCAGGGAAGCCTCCCATTCCTCCCTGCTCGTGGAGCCTGTTTCAAGCCTGGCTAATGTTCTTAAGCAACCTCCCACTCACCCTCTGAAGCACCTGCAGGGTGTCCGCTCCAGGTCTGCACCGCCTGCCACTTCCACAGCCCTGAAAGCTGACAGGAAGGACCTCCATGCTTTCTATCCCTCCTGCCCACAGTCCCTGAAACCCTCCACCCCACACACGGTCCCATTTCAGTCCTCTAAGGTAGGTCCATGCTGTAGCTGTCCTGGGTTCCTAAGGAGAGGAGAGAACTGGGTGGACAGTCTGTGAACGAATGGAGGCCGGCTGGTTATTCCTGCTGTTTGTCCCCAGCAGTTTCCAGAAGCTGGCATAGTACTTCTTAGCCATCTGCCATGGCCAGGGGACTGCCCAGCACCGCCAGCCTGGCACGCTTCTGCCAGAAGCTGAACCGTCTGAAGCCACTGGAAGAGTCTAGCATGGAGACGTCACTGCGGCGCTGCCTGTCCACACTGGACTTGACTCTACTGGGTGTGGGCGGCATGGTGGGGTCTGGGCTCTATGTGCTCACAGGCACAGTGGCCAAGGACATGGCTGGCCCAGCTGTGCTGTTGTCGTTTTTGGTAGCTGCTGTAGCCTCCCTGCTGGCAGCCCTATGCTATGCGGAATTTGGAGCCCGTGTGCCCCGTACCGGCTCTGCGTACTTGTTCACCTATGTGTCCATGGGTGAAATATGGGCATTCCTCATAGGCTGGAATGTGCTTCTGGAATACCTCATTGGAGGTGCTGCTGTGGCCCGTGCCTGGAGTGGCTATTTGGATGCCATCTTTAACCACAGCATTCGCAACTTCACAGAGTCTCACATGGGTGTCTGGCAGATGCCCTTCCTTGCCCATTATCCAGATTTTCTGGCTGCTGGCATTTTACTTGTGGCTTCCGCCTTTGTCTCATGTGGAGCCCGAGTCTCTTCCTGGCTCAACCACACGTTCTCAGCCATCAGTATGATCGTCATCCTTCTCATTATCATCTTGGGTTTCATCCTGGCCCGCCCTCACAACTGGAGCGCAGAAGAGGGTGGTTTTGCGCCCTTCGGCTTCTCTGGCATCCTGGCGGGCACAGCCACCTGTTTCTATGCCTTTGTGGGCTTTGATGTCATTGCTGCTTCCAGTGAGGAGGCAAAAAACCCACGGTGGGCTGTGCCCATGGCCATCGCCATTTCCCTTGGCCTGGCGGCCGGCGCCTATATTCTGGTCTCCACCGTGCTGACCCTCATGGTGCCTTGGCACAGTCTGGACCCTGACTCGGCTCTTGCCGACGCTTTCTACAGGCGGGGCTACAGCTGGGCTGGCTTCATTGTGGCAGTTGGCTCCATCTGTGGTAAGGGACCCTTCCGGGCAGGGTGGGAGTGGACAGGGTAGTGGGCCTCCACCCAGGCCCCAGTTTTCCTGCCTGTATAATGAGCTCATGAAAACACTCATTTCCAGAAACTTGTTGGCACACCCTCCTCTCCCCTCAAATCGTACACAGAGTATCAGTTTGGGAGCACACGCTTACAGGTTCTTCCCAGGCAGGCTGAGAGCTCTCAAAGGGTCTAAAATGGGCTGGACCTAAACGGAAATGCCCATTCCTTGGTGGGAGGTGAGAAGCGAATGCCCTCAATATTCTTATCTGAGAGTCTAGCAGCAGCCCCTGCTGGGCTTACCTGCCTTGCTGATTGTTCCCTGTGCTCTGCTGCAGCCATGAATACCGTCCTGCTCAGCAACCTCTTCTCCCTGCCTCGAATTGTCTATGCCATGGCCGCCGACGGGCTCTTCTTCCAGATGTTTGCCCGTGTGCACCCCCGGACGCAGGTGCCTGTGGTGGGAATCCTGGTGTTTGGAGTCCTCATGGCTCTCCTGGCACTGCTGCTGGACCTTGAGGCATTGGTCCAGTTCCTATCCATCGGCACCCTGCTGGCCTATACCTTTGTAGCCACCAGCATCATTGTGTTGCGTTTCCAGAAAGTTTCTCCTCCCAGCTCCCCATGCTTAGCTAGCCCTGGCCACACAGCTAAGAAGTATGACTCCTTCTCGGACCACATACAGCTAGTAGGTGGTACACAGAACTCCATGTCTGAGCCTGGTCAGCTACGGCCAGCCCTGAAGCCCTTCCTAGGTTTCCTGAATGGCTGCCGCCCTGGAACTGCTGTGGCATGGGCGCTTGGCATCTTGGTAGCCTCTGCTATCTCCCTGGCGTGTGTGCTGGTCTTCGGGAACTCAGACCTGCACCTCCCACGGTGGGGCTATGTCCTGCTGCTGGTCGTCAGTGGCTCTGTCTTTCTATTCAGCCTCCTGGTCCTGGGGGCTCACAATACTGTTCCCTCTCAGACTGACCTGTTCCCTTGCCTCAGCCTCTCATGCTACCTGAGAAGGCACAAGGGCTCATGGGGCTGGGGAGGCAGGTTTATCCATTCCTACTTCCTCCAACATTCTGCATGGCGAGGGTACACAAGGCTCCAAATCTCCAGAGATGAAGACAGGTTCTGTGGAACTTCCACACAGTCAGGCTCTAGACTGGCATAACTATCCTGCAGCAAAGCTCAGCCTCACCCTTGCACCCTCAGATCCCTTTGGTGCCCCTGACTCCAGCCCTGAGTATCCTTCTCAACATTTGCCTCATGCTGAAGCTGAGCTACCTGACCTGGCTGCGCTTTATCTTCTGGCTGCTGGTTGGTGAGTGGGGGCTGGGCTTGGATGCAGCTTTTCTAAAATGGGAGGGCGAAGAGGGCAGGTGGGGTTGGGACCTGCCCCTCAGGCTCATGCCCATTCCTGCAGGACTTGTCGTGTATTTTGGCTACGGCGTCTGGCACAGCAAGGAGAACCAGAGGGAGCCATTGGAGCTGACTACTGCACACTATGTGGTATTCCCCAGCAGCAGCCTGGAGGAAACAGTGCAAGCTGTGCAGCCTGCTGGCCAGGCTGCAGTCCAGGAGTCAGCCTGTGCAGAGTAGCTGGCCAGTCTGTGAGGCTGACTCAGAGGGCCCCACATTGCCCACACGCAGAGGCCAGAAGAATTGGCAGCTGCCTGCCCAAGGAAGCTTGGATTTGAAGCCTGCCCGGACTGGGCTGGGAGTGTTGTCAGTTCCCAGGAACTGAGCCTTCCGTCTTCATGGGATAGGCCTTGGCAAGTGCTGCTGTGGACTCACTGCCCAATGCCTTCCTGTTTATGATCAACTCTGGATACCTGGGCAGGTGGGGCACAGTGGGCAGGAAAGAGGCTCCAGGCCCTGGGACCCATAATAATAACTAATCAGCTAGTGTTATGACCAGCTATTGTGTACACTGTAGCATTCTTTGTGGCACTGAGTTCTTACTTGTGTGAAGAACCAAAGAACTGTTCCCAGTCCACAGCAGGGAGACAGAAGATCTACCGAAAGTATCTCTGGGAAGGGAAGCTACATGCATAATGTGAAGAGGGCATGTGACAGAGTCCTCACAGTCCTCTATAAGGGTGTCTGTGTGCACATGTGTGCATGTGTGCATGCGTGTGTGTGTGTGTGTGTGTGTGTGTGTGTGTGTGTGTGTGTGTGTGTGTGCGCGCGCGCGTGCGCGTGTATGCGTGTAAGTATGTTAGTGGTGCTTGAGGTGGAAGCCAGGACCTTGAGATTGTTAGGCAAGTGTTCCACTAGTGACCGATACCCCCAGATCCCTGACATGTCCTTTAGCAGGGTATATATCACAACCTGGACTCAAAGAAGGTAACTCATAAAGGTGTCCGTGTCTCTTGATTTCCTAGGCTCCCTGGGGATCAAAGTATGTGTCCAAGGACTGCCAAGAGACATTGAAATGCACAGAACGCAGGTACATGCCCACAAGACACACCCCCAGCACATTCCTGCACAGCCCACACAGCTACCCTTGGAGAACTGACCAGTGTTTCCAGGCTCCTGGACACAGCTCACTCTTTACTGTCTCTGTATAACCCAGGAGTTTTTAGATAAAGTCTTTGGGGTCTCTATTACTTGTTAATATCCAGGGCAACAGTGTCCATGAGAGGTGGTACGCTTGAGTGTGCATGGATGCAGAGGTCCTTGGGCCTGCACCCACACTGCCTTTCCAGCCCACTAGGTGGCTGTGAGGCTAAAGTTCAGGGAGGAAGTCTTAGGTCTGCTCTGCACCTGCCCTGGGCTTCCTGTGGCTGGGCTCTGTCTCAGGTAGACATCTCCCTTTTCCTATTCCTCCCTTTAAAGACTACACAGGAAGCTCCTTGCTTTGGCACTTTTACTTCAGCAGTGATGTCAGAGTTCTTTGGATCTCCGAGGACTACTGGGTCCACGTGACCCACCTGCCATAACCAGGCCTTCCCACCCTGTGGTTTGCAAGCCAAGGCCCTAAGGGCTGAGAGGCATCAGGACTCCAAAGCTTTTTTGGAGGAGCTGGAAGCCAGGTGATCCTAGACATTGGTGCAGCTTTGGCCTCAGCCATGGGACTCCCTGGGTTACTGTGCGTCCATAGCAAAGCTGCCTCTCCCCTTCCAGGGGTGCATACTCCATAAGTTATGCCCCACAGTGGGCCAAGAAAGGGCTGTGCTTCTGCAGCCCGTCCCTGCCATTCTGGGACATGGGGAAAGTCTCTAATGACAGAGGAATCAAAGCCCGCATGCATGCAGATCCAGAACCAGCTATGCTCGAGGAATCTTGGTGTCCTTCATGGAGATCACACCTCGAAACTCTGGCGTTCTGGGGCCAGACTTAGGGCCTCAGGCAGACAGGTGCCTCTGCATGCAGTGAGGTTTCCAGGAATGTCTTGTTGGCAGGAAGTCCTACATGTGTAGCCTCCCATCTCACCTAGACCCCTGAGAAACCTGGGGTCAGGTTATTGGGGCTTGAACTGAATGGCAGAGTTGCCTAGAAGACAGAGTCCCAAGGGACTAGGCAATCAATCATTCGGTCATGTTGCCTTCTCTCTCTCTCTCAGGCTGGGCCCAGGAGGGAGTCTGCATGCAGAGTCTGGTGGAATCCCCCCAAGCCCTTCTCCAGTCCTGTTGGAGCTTTGTCCTTGATGTTCCCAAGCCAGAACCCTATCCATCCCAACCCCTAAACTTTAACCTGCAGGGAGTGGCTCAGGAATGGATAGGCCAGTGGATGACAGCCACCCAGACAAGGCCACTGGTGCACAGATATCTGGATACCAGCAGCAACAGACATGGGGCAGGTGCAACCCACCACTGAGACACTTGGGCAGCAGGGTGCACGTGTGAAAGCCAGCTTGATCTATGTAGTGTTGACAGTTGCCTTTGGAGCTTTCGCCTACAAAGACAACAGATTAGGGATCCCCCAAATGTGTGTGGCAGAACCCAATGTTCAGGCAGTGACTTCAGCTCTGGGACACAAGCAAGCCCACAACTCACTTCCTCATACTTGGTCCTCCAGTAGAAGCTGGCTTCTCTATCCACATACAGTAGCAGCAAGTCACAGAGGAAGGTGACCTGGAAGGGGCAGGACCTACCATGTTCCAGATTCCTCACCTTGCCCCCTTCTCCAGTCAAGCCCTCACCCAGGACACAATATGCAGGTTCAGCAGATGCCAGCAGGCCCTGGCTGGTGGTTACTGCAGCCAAAGTGAACCTCAGACTCACCATTCCCAGCCAAGCTGCTCCTGTGCCCAGTGTGATGGCCGTAGGGATGAGTGCAAATTTCCCTGCCTGAGAGACCCCAGCTGAGCCTCTAGGGCTGGGGCTGTCCTCCCAAACCTCCAGAGACCCTTCCCCTGCCCTAAACAGTACCTTCCCAGTGACAAGAATGTCAAAGCGGATCCCATAGAGCTTGAGCAGGCTCCGGGCCTCCACACCTGAGGGTTCCCACCAGTGATTGGCTGTCCTGGGGATAGCAGAGAAGACAGATGCCGTTGGTTTGCATGCTGCATCACAGGCCGGATTATTCACGGACTCCACCAGCCCAACCCAGAGTCCTAAGTCTTAGGCTCCCTGTAGATGTTGAGGACAGGGGAAAGCACCCCAGAACCTGAGAAGGGCCTGAATGAAGGAAGATTGCTGTCTATTGAGGTCAGGGAGGGGCACAGGGGATGCTGAGGTCAGGGAGGGGCACAGAGGATGCTGAAAAAGGTACTAGAGTGGGGTGGGGGGTATATGGGAGAAAGGAGGTGGGGTGGAGGGAAGGCTGCTAGAACTCTGAAGCAGCAATTCCTTCCAGCCCAGACCTAGAGGGGAAGTTAGCTCAGGTGCCAGGGCTCAAGAAGGCACTGTGAACAGAGAGGAAGTTGCCAGCAGAAGCCTAACCCCATAAGATTGCAAGAGATGGGGAGCCAACCACAGTGAGTTGTATCAAAGGGCATTGTCCTTGGGCCTTGCAGCCACATGTGCACATCTGCTACTATATGTGATAAAATAATATTAAGTGGCAGGAGGAGCCCAAGATTCTACTTGGGAAACTGAAAACATGGCAATACTTGCAATTTAAGATCTCTTAGTGCCTCTAGGACTGGAAAATACAGATTTGGAACATTTTTGACACAATGGGGGAAATATAAAATGTTAGATTTAATCTCCAACACCCTTTTCCTAACTTCTTTCTTACCCCCTTCCTTTCTCCCTCCTCCTCCCCCTCCTCCTTTCCTTCCCTTTCTCCCTCTTCCTCTTTCTCTTGTCTCCATCCTTACTTCCCTCCCCCCTCCTTCTTCTCTCCTTCCTTCCCTCCTCCTCTCTTTCCTTTCTTTCTCCTCCTCCTTCTTCACCAGGCTGCCTCAGACTTGCTATAAAACCAAGGAAGGAGGCTAGAGAGATAGCTCAGTGGTTAAGAGCACTGGCTGCTCTTCCAGAGGTTCTGAGTTTAATTCCCAGCAACCACATGGTAGCTCACAGCCATCTATAATGAGATCTGGTGCCCTCTTCTGGTGTGCAGGCAAATATACAGGCAGAACACTTGCTCTGTATATATATATATCGCCAAGGAAGACTCTGACCCCTAATCTCCCTTTCTCTGCCCTTGAGGGCTGGGATTAGGGACTACAAGCATGTACTGTGTGACCACCTACCCAATGTCCAGAGTTGTCTGTGACAATGGGACAGTGGTCATGTGGGAAACAGTCCTTGACATTATTGGGAAGGATGAGTATCCAATATCTGATATTTCCTTTCAAATAGTTCTGAGGCCCTGAATCCAAACCTTAGCCTTAGTGCTGACAGGGAAAGAAAAAGCAATGCTAGGAAACTATGGTCAGAAGTATGTGAATATTTGTGTTGCTAGTCTGAATTTTTCCACACTCTTTTGGGGAAATTTTTAGATAAAGTCTGACAGGGAAATTTAAGATGAAAGATGTCTGCTTTGGAGAAGCAGGATCATCTGGGAGAGGCTGTGCCGGACCTACAGTGGGAGCCTGTACCGACCGGTGAATGAGGGAAGCCTGTAACAGGTGAGCAAGGGAAGGTGGAGCGGAGCTGGGGACGGGACCCTTGTACACACAGTGGGGTTTGAGTTGGGGGTGCTCTGTTCTGGTGGTCCCAGGGAGCTAGGTGGAGAGAGTACTAGGCCAGGAACAGTGAGCCAGGACTATGGCAGCAGGGGCCATACCTGAAGTTGTACCCCCGCTCCTGCAGCTGGAAGGAGTACCGGGGACAGCAGTCAGGGCCCCTGGAGTCCAGGTCGCAATCCCAGTGGATACTGATGCCCACAGCGCCACCCTGCATGCAACACATTTCTGTTCCACTGGTAGACAGGCTTGAGACCCTAACCCTGAGCAGCAGGAACTTGCTCCAAATGACTCACCAGCAATGCCAGGTCCTCAAAGTCCCCACCAGCCATGGCCACAAGGTCCCCAATGCGGAACACTGGGCAGTACGGGCTGGAGTGTGGATCATAGCGACAATGCTTGAAATAGGTGCTGTCCCAGGTGTCTAAGGCATTGGTCCTAGAAAGGACAGTGATGGGGATCAGATGACCCACTAAGCATGGAGCATCGGGGCTCAACCAAGACCTGCTCAGGCTTACTTGGAGAAGTTGAACTTGCTGAAGGTGACGGTGTTTTTGATGAAAAGTGTGAAGTTCTTGGCCTGAACTAGCAGGGGCTTCCTGAGGATAGACAGTATATTGGCATCATTTTGCTTATCCTGGGGCCCATCCTGGGAGAGAAAGGAGGCTTACCTGGGTACAGCACCGCTCTCCACGGGGCACCAGCTCCAGATCTCACAGGTCCTGTGGGTTCCATTGAACACCACACACTGACCCGTTTTTATGCCTTGAAAACACAAAATGAGCTCCAAGGCCTCAAGTCTCCATGGATCCTGAGGAGGGTGTGGGGCATGGGCTTGTCGGTAGAATGGGGTGGCGCACAGACAAGTACAGCTTTGGGGACCGCAGTATTCCCTCCCCTCCCCCTGTTCTAGTGGAAGCCCACAGTTACCATGGCTGTGCGTTCCCGTCTCCCCTTCAGGGCAGTCCTCGTCAGCCCAGCAGTTAGCCAGAGGAACGGAAGGATGCTGAAGTAGGAGAGATTCTAGTCACAGAGATGCCTCCTCTCTGTGACTTAGCCTCACAGACTACAAAGAGACGACCTTGAGGATTCCTCCCAGGGAACCCTGGGTTGTGAAGCACAGGGAAGGCACAAGCTGTAAGCTGGAGGGAAGAAGCTGATGAGCCTCCTGTGAGATGGTGTACCGGCTGTATTCCAAGAGCAAAACGAGACTCTCATTCTCCTGACAACTCTGTCCCTGATTGTTCACCAAGGCAAGGGGTGGGGTGGGATGCTAGAGAACCACAGAAGGACAGACTAGTGATGCTCAATACACGATAGGTGTAGCCATCGAAGAGCAGGGCCTAAGGCCACAGGGTTTGTACAGGGAGGAAGCCCCGCACACCTGATGGTGCCAGTCTTTTCTGCCAAACATGGCCATTGTGTCAGAGTCTCATGGGGGAGCACTATGAGGTAAAGGCGGCTTTGAGCTTTGGAACCCTTATGGGGGTTCAGCTCACGAGGAACGCCAGGCAGCACCATGAAAGCAAGAATGGCTGAAGGACTGAAAAGCCAGGACTTAGGACTTTGTGAAGGATGGGACTATGACTGGTAGCAGAGGTTACTCTGACCTCAGCCACTTTCTCTGCTTTGCTGTCCCAACCTGTGTCTGACTATGTCCCCAGCTTCTTCAACCAGACTCCATGGTGAGATGTGAGCACCTCTCCCGGCAGCCCAAATGATGAGAGACGGGGGTCTTTACCATGCTCCCATTCTGGCTGCATTCTGCTCATACATCAAGTCCAACTTGTTAGCAGACTCAGAGGGAGATGTTGGGCTGTCCTTTTGGTGACCCAGCCCTAATCTATGCTCCAGCCACACGGAGTTAGCAGGTATCCCCAGAGACACCTCAGCCCTTCACACAGCCTGGGCCTCTGCCCATGAAGTTCCCTCTGCCCTAGCATTCTGTTGCACCCACACTGACCCAGATCATTGGCTCCTTTAAGATTCTATCCATGTACTTCCCCAAGTCTCCCCACTGCAGCCTCTGTGTTGTGGGTAACATGGAACCTGCTGCCTTGGCTGCACCTTAGCTGCAACTTGAGGTACAGGGAGCTGGAGTTCTGCCAGCCCAGCACAAGACCTGACCCAGATTGGGGGGGGCGAGGAGAGGGGCTCAAGAAAGGTTTGCAGAGGGATGTGACACTATGAAGTGTGTTCTTGGAGGGACCAGGTCACCAATCTTCCAAGAAGAGCTGGCAGGAACTCTGGTTATCTGGTCATCAGATCTGGTGAGTTATTTCCAGTCATGGGAGGTTCACTGGAAGAGCCAGAAGCCTCAGACAAGGAAACAGAAAAACAGTGTTCTTTCTAAGAGTGGACCTGTAGGTTTGGTGAAATTTTAGAGTTGTCTACATGTTAAACCTGGATGCAACATTCTCTAAGCACTGGGAGTCTGGGTTCCCCTTAGTCATCCTTTGGATAGGGGTCAACCGTGGCTATGTAATGTCCCCTGAAACTGTAATGTGACAAAATACCAGAGCCTGGAGTCCAGAAGAGCAGAGGTTGGACTTGGGTGTGATGCATATATGTGGACCAGGTCATTACTGTTCACACAAATGCCATGGTTGGTGAGAACTAGTGTGCTCCTTGAAAGATTGTTTGGAATATTCCCAAATGGAAACAGTGAGTTTGGGATGGTGGTGCATGCATTTCTTCATGAAAAGCAGGTAAGAATGAGGCAGAGGGCTCTAACATGAACACAGCTGGGCTGAAAGCAGAAGTGTGCTAGCTTGTCCCCCAGATGGAAGCTAACTCACAGAGAAGGAAGGTGCTCTCTCAGCTTGCCCCCTGCTGCTAATGCCCACCTGAGTGTGTGCCTGGTTGGAAGCCAGAGGCAGGACCAGCATGGGAAAGAGACTGCAAGACTGGAAACTGTCTCCACTCAGAGGTCTGGCGCTGTAACCCACACTTGGGGTACCTTTGGGCAAGTGACTGAACTCGTAGAGTCCCAACCACCTGTTTGATGGGAATTATAGTCTTTCTGGTGGACAACAGATATAAGGACTCAATTAAATGGCTTCTAGAAAGATTAGCCCGTTGCCTGGCACAGATATACCAAGCTCAGACTGAGTCTTGAGCCATGTGTGGAGGAGAAAGGAGACAAGACTGTGAGAGAAGTAGGGTGTGTTAGAGGTTCTGGATGGACTTACCTCTGGGCATTTACCCTGGACTTGAGCTGGTGTTACGAGGAAATTGGTCACCAGGAAGAACACATTCTCTCCCTAGAAGGCAAGGCTGGAGGTTGGCTTCAGCTGGAGGGGCTAGAAGCTGAAGCCTGTTTTGTTTGCTTTCTGTTGCTGTCAGTGCTGGGAATGAGACTTGAGATCTCAGGCATGCTAGGCCAGTGCTCTGCTGCCGAGGTAGGAGCTCAGCCTGGTAGCCTGGATTTTGTAGGACTACTTCTCAGCCCTATCTAGTTACCAGGTTTGTGCCACAGAAAGTGGTGACCAGCAAGGCAGGCAAAGGTGGCTAGGTTTGTGGCCATTCCTGAGACCAGGGAAGTGTCATGCCTCTATCATATCCTTCATACAAGTTTCATTTCAAATTATCATGCATTCAACCAAAATTTTCCAAGAACCTCCTGAACCTAGACGCTGAAGCTAGAAAGCAGGCCTGATCACAGGCCAAACAGTCTGGCAAGGGAGTGCTTGCACAGAAAGCTAGCGCCACCTGCAGCCAGACAATGGTCAAGGTGATGTAGCTACCTTTGAGTCACCCCTCACTCAATATGCTTAGAGGTAACCACAATTACTCATTGGTTCACAGAACTAATTTGGGATGAAATTGGCCCATTGTTGGTGCAATAGATGAGGTATACAGACATGTATTTGCTTTATATCTCCTCAGGAAATGAGGCACAGCCGCTGGCAATTGAAGCCATATTGGCTAGGTGGAGGGAGAAGGGAAGATGAGAGACGTGGCTGAGAGGAGGTAGATTGCACCCTGACAGGCAAAGATAGGAAAAAGGTGAAAGAATTAAAAGGCAGGGGCTGGAGCACTGGCTGCCCTTGGAGAGGCTATGGGCTCTGTTCCCAGCACCCACATGGTAGCTCACAACTTTCTGTCACGCCAGTTCCAGGGAGTTCCAGTGCCCTCTTATGGCCTCTGAGGGTACCAGGCAAACAAACAGCACACATACTTTTATGCACATTACATAAAACTGCTCAACAAAAGAATTAAAAGGCAGGTCAACCACAAGATGACAGACTCCCAGATTCTCCCTCACCACACCACCAAACCTATTCAAGATGAAGGCCTGGTGAGATTATAGCTTTTCCTGCCAGAAGGGTCCGATTCTGGATGAATGGTCTAGGCCAGTCCAGTTATGTTCAACGCTGGTCCTGAACATGTCTCAGCTTGTATGAACCTATGGGCCTGTCAGCTCCCTCTTTTAAGTTGAGCATCCAAAGTTCAGGAGCAGGGACCCATCTTACACCACCACATACCTTTAAGGCCAGCAGCCCTTCAAGGGAGAATGGACTTTGGTTTCTGAATCCCCTTCCCTCTGCTGTGTGTGTGTGGGAGGGGTGCAGGCTCACTTTTAATAACACTTTTTTTGCTGTGACTATGACTTATTTCCTGCCTTTTAATTCTTTTGTTGAGCAGTTTTATGTAATGTGTATAAAAGTATGTGTGCTGTTTGTGTGCCTGATACCCTCAGAGGCCATAAGAGGGCAATGGAACTCCCTGGAACTGGCGTGACAGAAAGTTGTGAGCTACCATGTGGGTGCTGGGAACAGAGCCCATAGCCTCTCCAAGGGCAGCCAGTGCTCCAGCCCCTGCCTTTTAATTCTTTCACCAATGGGAAAACTGAACCTGATCTAAAATCCCTAAATGATAACAAGGGGACTTCAGAAAGTTGATACCCTGAACTGCGTGCCCTACCTTTCCCTTCCAAGCGTAAATCCTGAGCCCAAGACATTTCAGTCCTTTGCAGGAGTATCTTTGTGTGGGTGGGGTGTTGGTGGGGTGTTTTTATGTTTGTGTAGGTGGTGAGTGGATGAGATGGTTTTATCTTGGTGTGGGTGGTGAGTGGGTGGGTATTTTTATGTTTGTTTAGTGGTGAGTGGGTAGGTATTTTTATTTGTTTAGGTGGTGAGTGGGTGGGTGTTTTTAATCTTGGTGTGTGTGGTGAGTGGGTGGGGTGTTTTTATCTTTGTGTGGGTGGGTTATTTTTCTTGATGGCCTTCGGAATTGAACCCAGGAAGCTATGTGTGTCAGGCAAGCACTCTGCCACTGAGCTGTGTCTCTAACCTTCCTTTTAATAGGAAGTTCCATGGGCATGGGCTTCCTGACTTGGGAAGCCATTTGCTCAGATTGACTCAGCAGTCTTCTGAGAGGCCCTTGCCCTTTCCCAAGCCTTTCACCCACCCTCTGGCATCACAGGCATCCTGTCTCTCATGCACAGCCACTATGAGGCAGGCCACTGTCAATATCTGAAGGACTCTGGCCTCCTGCCACAGCACCGAGGACCTACCTGTGATGGCTTCACAAAGTCAGCCACATCCCATAGTCGGTTCTCTAGTTCCTTAATCTGGGTTACGGAAACCCCTTTGAGTTTAGTGATGACAGAAATCTGGGGGTCCAAGTCCCATTCCTGGTAGCCTTTTTTGACCAAGAGGGCCCACCTAGGGAGAAGGTGATGGACAGTGTAACGTGACAAGGCCTGTAAAACTAGACTGTCTTGGTATACTTCAGAGGCCTCCAGATCAGCACGGAGGGCTGAGCAGGTGGAGCCCTCAGATGGAGCTGTCCATCATGGCCACTTTTCACATGCCAGTGCCTCCCATACACTCAGCACACTCAGCTCAGCCCTTTAAGGCACTTCAGATATCCATCTGGTGGTCCCTCTGGGAGCCTTAGGGTTCCATTGCTCACACATGCCAAGAATTACTGACTCCCTCCCCACCAGGTGTCTCTGGGCAGGAGTACTGCAGATGCACGCAGAGACCAAGATGACGCTGGGCATATGGCTTCTGCTGTCTTCCGAATGGATTAAAATCCCTCCTACTGACCACCTCTCACCACCCCCATTCCCACTCACCCACCAGCCGGAATTCTGAAAAGCCAATTTCTAGCCCTCAGCCAGCAAGGCCAACAGCAATCTCTTCAGCTAGCCTGGCAAAGGGCTGCTCTTACCCTATCACGTAGGCCACCACTCCCAGCTGCAGCAGCCTCTGAGAGACACCCACTCGGCAGTTTCTAGTCATCACATACTTCTCTGTCTTGTAATCCAGAAACCCCCAGCCCACAAGTGCTGCCGCGGCGGCAGAAGCCATCTTCCCAGTTCCTCTGGCCGCTAGTGCATGAGTCAGCAGGCAGCTTCAGCTGAACTGCAGGCAGAACAGCCATGCATGGAACCAGGCCAGTGTTAAAGGGGCATCTTCATTCGGCAGGATCTGTCTCCTGGCTCAGTCCCAAACTCCAGCAGATCCAGGCTTCCCATCCCATCTGGAGTCCCTGGGTTGTACCCTGTGCATACAGAGAGGAGTAGTCCTGTCCCTGCCCATCCACTCCACTTCTTTATAGGGTGGGCTGTGACCAATGTGGGGTAACAGAAGCACAGAGGGGCTCTGAGCTCAAACAGGGAGATTCCAAAGTGCAACAGGGCAAGTCAGGTTTGGGATGCCCCCGCTGGCGCAGTAGCACACAGCAAAGACTAGATCTTGCGAGGAAGCTGAGACCCTCGGGCAGGGACAGCACAGTTGTGACTCCAGAGAAAAACGTTCGCTAGACTCTACAGGGTCCTTAGGTCTTCCCTAGAGCCACCTCCTGCACCAAAACACAAGCTCTAAAGTCAGACTAGAAAAGTTCATGAAAGGAACATGGAGGAGGTGCGGTAGTTAGCCCTGTTGAAGAACATATACCAAGCAAGGTCCTGGTGATTCTGCAGCCACAAACAACACCCGGTTCCCAGGGAGACCGCGGGGTGGGAGGGGAGCATCATTACTGGGCCCAGGGACCACCTGCTGCCCGTAAATCAAATTTGATTGGCCAGTGAGGTCAGAGGGACCGCCCACATCCCTGGGAAGCGTTCCAAGCTGTGAGCTGTGCGCGTTCTCAGTCTCTGTGCCCCCGACTCGGAAGTGAGGGTAAACATGAAGGGTCCCTGCAAGGCATCTACGAAGAATGAAGATCAAGAGGGAAGAGCAGCTGCCACTGCGCGTCAGGCGGAGGCCCCGGAGGCCAACAATTTCTGGACCGCAGATTCCCACTTTGCTCTGGAAACAGAAGGTGCCTTGTCCTCCGCGTGGGGTCCTGGTTGGACTCCTCCAGCACCCAGGTGGTGCGAGTCCTCTGGAGTGGGACCACATGCTTCAGTGGGGCCTCATCCCCCATTATCATCAGCTGATACCCCTTGCTCTCGTGGAGGCATGAGACGGCCCAATGCTTAGAACTGTCTTGCAGAATAATCTGTAAATGAAACACCCTAACAGACGGTGGTGTTGCACTTGGAAGGGTTCAGGGCCGGGTGTTCCAAAGTATAGGAAAAACTTAGGTAAGGGATGCATTGAGTTTAGAATTGTTTGGAGTTATTTTAGAATTAATAAACACCATACGTCGTCTGTAGACATTATGACCGGGGGACTGAGAATGTAAGGCAGTTGGTAAAGTGCTTGCCTAGCATGCTTGAAACCTTGGGTTCAACACTCCCCTCAGCCAACAAGTTGGAAGCCAACTTGGGGGGGGGGGGTGATCTGTGATACCTGGGCCGGATGGGATGGGGCCAGCATACACTTCAGCAGTAGGTTCTGACTAGCTCTGTGACTTGGAGAAAAGACTTTTTTAGTCATGAGGCCCTCATCTGGGAAAAGAGTGTAGTAAATAGCCGCTGACGCAGGAGGAAATGGCAAGGGCAGGAAAAGGGGTGGGGCTGTGCCAATGTAGAGTTCTTCCTTTGTCCCCCTGTCTACTGTTAGGCACCCATAGTCTTGGAGAACCGGTCATGGCTACCCACTATTTGGAGTCTTGCCAGGCCCTTAGTGTTGTGCCGGCATCTTGTCTTCTGCGCCAAGGGAGCGCTTCTGAATTGAACCTTCGACATCGTGGCCTGGGGCCCCAGGTATCTCTCAGGGAACCTGGAAACAGGAAGGATGTGGGAGACAGTGGCCATCTTGTCCTTGAGTCCATTTTACAAACTCACAGCCTTCCTCTGTGCCATGCATATCCCATCCCCCATGCCTGTAACACAGGATGGAGGCTGTGACAGAGATGAGTGCTGCAACTGCAAGAAGGCTCTAGGAAATGAGGTCTAAGTTGTACTTAGAGGGAGAAGCAGATGTTACCTGGAGGAGATGGGAGCTCTGGGGTTTAAACTGAGGTAATGGTTATCTGCCCCTGGGAAGGACCAGACCTCTCAAGGGCCCTGTGTGCCTCTGCCTCTTGTACCTCTCTGTTCTGTTCCAGGGGGCCCGGGCTCTGGCTTCCATGTTGACCTCTAATGTCTACATCAAGCGTCTGGATCTTCGGGACAATGGGCTCTGTGGGGCCGGGGCAGAGGCTCTGGCTGATGTCCTGTGTAAGAACAACATTATCTCTGGTAGGTAGATGCTGAGTTTTTGAGTCTGAGCAGTAGGCACGCTTGGAGCCCTTCTTTCCTCAGGAGAGTGCTCCCTCACTGGGCCTTCTTGGCTGTTGCTAGGAGATGAGGAAGGCCCCCATCACAGGGTGTGGCATGTGAGGTGAGCCTCCTTTCTGGGAGTTTCCTCATTGGTGTAGCCAATGCTGAATGCTGCTCTTTGCCTGACCCATCCTATAGCTATCTCCCCTGGTGAGCACCTCACCCCTGCACATGGTAGACTCCCAGTGCCTGAGTGCAGGATGAGAGAGGCACAGAGAAGCAGGGGAGAACCAATTCTCCATCAGCTGAGAATTGGAAGGGTTAGTGGCAGTTGGGTGAGGCTGCTTGTAGATGACAGCTCAGCCAATGAAGCGTGAGCTGACCCAGGCAGGCAACACAACTCTGCTGGGCCTGTTTTCCGTCTCTAAAATGATCACAGCAACACCACTAAGCTCTCTGGGCTGTGGCCAACATTAAAGGAAGCCACAGAAGTAAACCTGAGTGAACATCTGAGCTCACACTGCTGGTGTGTGCTACTCCGGAGCAGTAGGACAGACAGGGTTTCTGAGGGAGGTTACATTGTTAGGAGACACCAATCATCAACAAGGCAGCTGACCCTCTCCCACAGCACTCTTGACAGACAGACAGTCATGGGATGGGGAGACCGGTGACCCAAGGTGACCCAGGCAATAGGTGGCAAAGCAGCAACCATGTCACCTTAGATAATCAGATTGAAAGCCGCTTCTTTTGCCTCAGACCAGGAGATTTAGGGATGTAGGGAAGTACAAGAGGGTGGTGCTTGGCCGAGGTTCCCACTGACCAAGCAGTGGTGCTCCCCTCAGATGTGGACCTGTCAGACAACCAGATTGGAGCTGCAGGGCTCCAGGCTATCTGTGCTGCCCTTGCCTTAAACCCAGCTGTGCAGAAGATGCAACTGGGAGGAAACAGGCTGGAGGAAAAGGCTGCCCAGCACCTCGCTGCTCTTCTGCTGCGTCACACAAGCCTGAAATCCCTAGACCTCAGCTATAATCAGCTCAATGACCTGGCAGGTAATACTTGGTCTGGGCAGTCATGGGTCATGAGTGCCCACTGCACACTGGTGTCAGGGGAGGGGGTGGACAGGGCCACACCCAGCTCCCGCCATAAATATTGATATGCTGGCATCTGTTCACCATACCTCTCTTGGTTCTTCTACTCCAACCACACAGAATTCCTAATTCCAGGCATTTCTCACTGCCCTCTGCTGTGGGGATCTATCTACAAACAAAAAAGTTCCTGACTTCAAGAGACATACACTAACAAGGCCATTCTTAGTAATCAGTGGCCCTCTAAAAGAAACAATGTGTGACTGGGCAGCAGTAGCACACACCTTTAATCCCAGCTCTCCGGAGGCAGAGGCAGGCAGATCGCTGTGAGTGTGAGGCCAGCCTGCGCTACAGAGCAAGTTCCAGGACAGCCTCCAAAGATACACAGAGAAATCCTGTCTCAGAAAGGAAGGTAGGGTGTGGTTCTAGAAAAGAATGGACCACGTGTTGTAGTGGGGCAGGTCTTTAACCTGAAATCTGTGGGGGGGGGGGGGGAAAGGACTCAACCATAGCAAGACCATGATGTTGATGAATCGTGAGCATGCAGGTGTGTTTCCTAGATTGGTAGATACTGGTGTGGTTGGGTGGGTGATCCAGGGGAGAATGACCAGGCTGTCGTTTGAAAAGGAAGCAGAGACTATGTGGCCTGCAGATCACTGCTGAAGGTATGAAGGCTTCATTCCAAGAAACTTGGGGGTAGTTTGGCAGCACGGAAGGGTCACCTGTGCCCTGCTTTAGGAGTTTCTGTCATCTAGATTGGCTGCAGCAAATTCTTCTCTTTAAAGGTCTATATTTATGTAAATGTTTGTTACATATGTGTTGGTGCCTGTGTAGGCTAGAAGAGGACATCCCATCCTCTACAGTTGGAGTCACAGATAGTTGGGAGCAACCCAGTGTGAATGCTGGGAACTGAACTCAGGTCCTCTGGAAGAGCAGCTTGTGCCCTTAGCTGCTCAGACACTTCTCCAGCACCTGACATAAATTCTTAGATGTCCCCATGTATATGCATTGTAGTGGACATTGTAGTTGTCCCAGGACAGCTGTCTAACCAGGAGTTCTGGTCTGTCCCAGATAATTGAGTGGAGTGACACTAACCTCAGCCCTAGAGTTTGACTGCTGAAGCCAATTGTCCTCTAAGAAAACTATTGTGGGAAGCCAGTGGAACTAAAGGAGACTGACAAACTGTAGCTGTGTCTTTGGGAATAGGAGCCAGCTTGCTATTACTGTAACGAATACCTTAGACAACCATCTTACAAAGGGAAATGATGCATCTGGACTCACAGTTTTGGAGATTTCAGCCTTTGATGGATTGGGCCTGTGGCTAAGAAAAAAAAAAGCCCCCCAACTCATGGTCTAGAAGCAGAGAAGCAAAAGGGAGAGACTAGGATCATACAGTTCCTTCAAGGGAACTCCCAGTGGCCTAAGACCTTTAGATGGCATCATCTACCACATCCCAAACTTAGGGACCAAGAATAGACTTTATTTAATTTTGTATGTATAAGTGTTTGCCTGCATGTGTCAGTGCCCATGGAGGACAGAAGATAGCATCAGATCCACAGAACAGGAGTTACAGTCGGCTGAGAGCTGCCATGTGGGTACTGGGAGCCAAATCTGGACTCAATGTTAGCTCATCCAGTGCAGAGTCATCTCTCCAGCCCCAGGGACCAAGCCTTTAAAGCATGAAAGGGCCTTGGGGTGTGTTATCATGTAAGTTACAGACTAGCAGACAAGTGACAGAGAGGCAGTGGGACTCTGGGGGTCTGAGGTCTGAAGCTCTATGAGGGTATGCAAGGGGGAAAGGAGGAAGTGAAGATTCATTCTGTTCTGTTTCTCCAAGAGGGGATCGAAGGTTGTTTGGGGGAGTGCAAAGGGACTTGAGTCTCAGTCATGTACCATCTATGGCAATGGAGAAGCCGCCACAGGTGTGTGCCTCATAGAATGGAGATAGAGTTGCCATTACGGACCAGGAGAAGAGCGAACCTCACCCTTCAGCAGAAAAGAGTAACAGGGGGGCACCCACTGTCCTCTCCCAGTGTTAGCAGTGTCCAGGAGAAGTGGAAGACCCTTTATCTGAGAACCTAGAGGTATCTGGTCCAGCCCTGGATATGAGACAGTGCCCAAAACCTTAGTTGTGGTGCAGGTGCTAATGTGCCTGCTGCTGCATGTGCTAGCCAAGCAGGTGGCTGGGGGCACTCAGGCTTGGGACACGCTCTCTCTCTCTCTCTCTCTCTCTCTCTCACACACACACACACACACACACACACACACACACACTTCCTTGGTTTGATTTAGTTCAATTTGATTTGGTTTTTGAGGCTGGGTCTCACTATGCAGCCCTGGGGCTTGGAATTCACTACAGCGTTTAGACTGGCCTTGAACTAAGGCTCCACCTGCCTCAGCCTCCAGGATGCTGGGATTATAGGAGTGGACCTCCACCCTTAGCCTCTCTGAGCACTTCAAACCAGCTTTTCTGCTCTATCTGCCAAGATAATGAAAAGAGGCCAAATTTGGATCCTCGGGGGTTCCAATCCAGGTACAGAGGTGAACCAGGCAGAGAGTGAGTTTGGAGTCGGGGGTGCTGTAAGGGCTCACAGGGCTAGAATAGTATGGGAAGGTGGAAGACAGTGAACATGGGTTCCGAGGGGCCCACCAAGCCTGGAGAGACAGGTGAGGCTTCTTGAGTCTGCACATCCAAGCTGTGAGGCTGAGGCATGGTCGACCAGATGGACGAGGGGTTACCAACATGGAGAACTGCACTGGGACTTGGATAGAACTGAGTCTGTGGAGAACTGGCAGATGGTCACACCCATCAGTGTTAACAGAATGAAGAGCTGGTTGTAAGGTGTGCCCCTGCCATTTGTCATGCTAGGTATTTATCAGGGTTCCACTCACTTCCTTCTGCTACTGCTCCTGCTTCTTTTTTGTTGGAAGCTTTTATCATTTATTATAGAAGTAGCAATTAATATTCTAGGTATCAACTCCAGAATATTTATCACTATGAATTTGACTATTTAGAATATATATTGGGTGCTTTGTATTCTCAAATAGGCCCCAGAGAAAGGAATTCCTTCTCACACGGGTGTCAGCAGTAAGAGCAGCAGCCTCTGGGTCTCACACTGCATAGCCTTAGATTTTCCTTTTGATATAGCACCAAGATGCCCCCTTTAATTGGTTAACAGCAAGAGTTACAAGTCATGTCCAGGGGAACCGCCTAAGGTAGCTGCTTTTCTCAAGGTCTTACCCGCCTCCCTGTCTCTGAGACATATGCGTGCCCTATTGTCAGTTGTTAAATGTACCTGTGGTATAAAAACTAGAACCCTTGTAGGATAACAGAGACCTCAGGAGAACTTTTAGAAGAAGCAACTTTTGGAGTCTTTTTAGAAAGAACTTTAGAGAATTTTAAAGGACTTTTAGAAATCTTAAAGGGGTTTTAGAGAGAGAACTTTTGAGGAGAGAGCTTTTAGGGAGAAATCTTAAAGAGAGCTTTTGAGAGAACTTTTTTGGGAAGCCTCCATCTTTGAAAAATAAAGAGCCATGAGTGGAACACGTGTGTGATCCAGTTTATTTCCCTCTCACCCTCAGACTCCTTTTAGAAAACCCTACCTGCCTGTTGTCTAGCCCCTAACCTGGACCGTGAGAATGCACCGAGGCTGGAACTTGAATGCTCTCATTACTTTTCCACACAGCTACTCCACCCAATAGGAATCCTGCTGGGATGCTCCTCCAGCTTCATGGCTCTACAGCAGCTGCTCAGTCACACCCCACTTAGCATTCAAGGACTCTCAAGTGCCCTTATTACTTCCTACATCATTGTACCTGCTTCCTCCTGCCTGTCCCCAGTTCCAGCATCAACCCAGTTTCACTTTGCATCCCTGTTACCCATCATGTGTGCATACATGTGGGTTCCTTGATTCTACGTTGTCTGCTCTGCCCTTACTTCTAGACTCCACCAACACTACATTGCATGTCTACCCTTTTTGTTTGTGGATTAGAATAGTTGGAATCTCTTTACTTCGAATCCATATCTTCCCAATTATATGTGGATTCCTTGCTGGGCATAGTGGCTCTTGTTTGCATTGTCAACACAATGGAGGTGACAACAAGATGATCAAGGCCAGTCTGGATGACAGAGTGAGTTCTAGACCTGTCTGTGTTGGAGGACAAGACCATGTTCCAGTGTATACATGTACATGTGTGAGCATGTGCACATACATACATGTCCCTTGCGGGTTATCCAGGTGTGTGCTGAATTTCATGACCCTCCTACCCAGCAGAAGCCCTGGCACATGGTGAACTTCAGGTCATTTTTGGACTTAGCAATTTTTGCCATAAAAATCTCTTTGTGCTCCTCAGGAGAGACACTTGGACCTGCCTTGGCAGAAAACACAGGACTCACAGAGCTTAACCTCAGTTGGAATCATCTTCGAGGCCCAGGAGCCATTGCACTTGCCAAGGGCCTGGAGGTATGAGACAGTCCTCAGAGCCTGTCTGAACGTTAGGGAAATTTTCCCCAAGCCAGTTCTTAACGCTACAGCTCTTCAGAAATGAACTTTAGCCCTTTCTGCACAACTTCCACGGTGCATCTTAGATGACCTATTTTCCTACCCCCACTAAATGATAGTATACTGCACTGACTCTCATTTCCCAAAGGGTCTATAGATAAATGTCAGCTGCCTCCGTGGCATCACACTGCTGTCTAGGACTGCTCCCTGTCTTTGTTATTGCTCGGGCTCTCCTGGACTCTGAGGCTATGGCCCTGGCTGGCCCTCCGGATGTCTGCACCATCAGATGTACCACACAGCTTTTGCTCTTTGTGTCCTAGGCAAATATATTCCTGAAGGTCCTAGACATCTCTCATAATGGCTTTGGAGACTCAGGAGCAGCTTCAGTAGGTGAGGCCCTCAAGGCCAACAACGTGTTGGAAGAACTAAACATGAGGTGAGAAACCAGGGTGCTGCTCTCAGGGCCACACAGAGATTGGGATCCTGTTCGCACTGATCCTATCACGTGGCTTGAGGCTCAGCTCTGTCCTCGTTCAAGGCTGTTGCTGGGGGCTGGGGTTGTAGTTAAGTTGGTAGAATGCTTATCTGTCGTGCCCAGGCTGTGGGTTCATGTCTCCACACCACATAAATCAGGAGTGGCGTCTTACTCCTCATTTCACTTCTGTTGCTGTGATGAAACACTGTGAGCAAAGCTGCTTTAGAGGAAGGGCTTATCCAGCTTACAATGCAGCTCAGATGTCAGCATTTCAGGGAAATCATATCTCACGCACAGTCAAGAGCCAAGAGCATGCCTTGTCCTCCATGCTGCCCCTTGCTGCTTCTCGCACTGTACAGTTTATTTGTGGTGCCACCCACAGCCAGCGTTAGTCTTCCTGCATCAATTACCAATCAAGACAACCCCCAAAGACATTTGGTAGGCCAATCTGATCTAGAGAATTCCTACTCACTGGGACTCTCTTCCAGGTAATAATTGATTGTGTCAAATTGACAATAAAACTGACCAACGCAACCATCCTTTGTTAACGTGACACACAAACACTTTAAGCTATAATTTCCCATCCTTGGTCCCCAAGGACTCATGTTTACTTTACAATGTAAAATACATTGCTTAAAAATTCCAGCAGCACTTCAGGGGCTGGAGACATGGCTCAGGATTAAGAGCATTTGTTGTTCTTTCAGAGGACCCAGATTTGGTTCCCAGCACCCACATGGTAGCTCACAATAACCCAGAGCTCTAGCTCCAGAGGATCTGATGACCTTTCTGATCTCCATGGGTACCAGGTACACACATGGTACAAGCACATACATGCAGGCAAAATGCTAATATATATAAGTTTTTAAAATTGTAACACTTTAAAAACCCAAGACCTCTTTGAAAGTTCAAAGTCTCAGTCAGGTGGTGGTGGCACACACCTTTAATCCCAGCACTCGGGAAGCAGAGGCGGGTGGATCTCTGTGAGTACGAGGCCAGCCTGTTCTACAAAGTGAGTGCCAGAATAGGCTCCAAAGCTACACAGAGAAACCCTGTCTCGAAAAGCCAAAAACAAACAAACAAACAAAACAAAACAAAAAAAACAAAAAACCAAAACAAAAAATTCCCCCAAACCAAAAAACAACAAAAATCACAGTCTCTTGGGGATGGAGAGATGGCGTACGGGCTCAGAGTATGCACTGCTCTTTCAGAAGACCCAAGTTTGGTCCTCACATCAATCAGATGGTTCACAACTTCCGCAACTCTGGCTTCAGTGGGTCCTGATAGCCTGTTTCTGAACTCCTCAGGTACTTGGATTCAAACACTAAAAGAAAAAAAAAAAAAGACTTTAAGAATCCAGAGTGGGTTACTGTATTCTCACAAAGTCAAAAGCAAACTACATACTTAAACATTCTTATTCCAAGTGGGAAGAACTTGGGGATTAAAAACAATCAACACCTAAACAAAAGTAAAATTTGGCTGTGTGAATCCAATCCTGTAGCTGTGTCCACTGTTTCAGATTCATCATCTTTGGGGCTCTCAAAGGTTTAGGTAGGCTCATCTCTGCACTCTGCCACCTGCAGCATGCAGCTGTCTTCCTAGACTGGCTCCACACCACACCTTCATCTTGACAGGCATCCCGGTCCAAACATTTTAAATATTCTGGGGTCTCCATTGCAACCGAGGTCTCCACTTCATCAGTGGCGGGCCTCACCCTGACACAAGGAGCAATGTCCCCCTACTCTACATGACTTCCTCAATCATGCATCTCCCATGCTTTCAGAACCATTTCTACACGGACTCCACTTTGGACATTACCAAGTTCTGCCAGCTTCCGTCTACACGAGATGGAGCCTGGCCTCCTTAGTTAGCCTCTGGTGCCGACCCTGGGAGACACTTCCCTTTAGTCCCCAAGATGCACAAGTCTCACTTTAGGGGTGCTGATCTATTATAATAGCAGCTGATTCGGGCCGGGCGTTGGTGGCGCACGCCTTTAATCCCAGCACTCAGGAGGCAGAGGCAGGTGAATCTTTGTGAGTTCGAGACCAGCCTGGTCTACATGAGCTAGTTTCAGGACAGCCTCCAAAGCCATGGAGAAACCCTGTCTCGAAAAAACAAAAACAAACAAAATCCCTGCTGATTCTTCAGCCCCAGTAGATCAGCACACAATGGTTTTTAGCCAAAAGATTCAAACTAACAATCAAGTCTTTGCTCCTTTCTGGAATGTGACCAAGGTGTCATTGCTGTTTCAACGTTACTATCTTTCAAGCATCCTCAAGAACTAACTGGTAAGCTCTTCCCACAGCACCCCATGTTTTCCACACCTGTAAACCCAGTGCTTAGGAGGTGGAGGCAGGAAAAATCAAGAGTTCAAGGTCATCCTCAGCTATGCAGGAGTTACAGGCCTGCCTGGAATGCATAAGACTGCCTCTTTCCTTTCCTTTCCTTTCCTTTCCTTTCCTTTCCTTTTCTTTTCCTTTCTTTTCTTTTCCAGACAGGGTTTCTCAGTGTTGCCCTGGCTGTGCTGGAACTCACTCTGTAGACCAGGTTGGCCTCAAATTCAGAGATCCACCTGCCTCTGCCTTTCCAACCACCACCCAGCACACTCTATCTTAAGAAAAACAAAACAAAACAGGAAGAGGAAGTTAGTATTAGGTATGTAGGCCTGGCTTCAGAGGCAACCATTTGGAGGGGAGGAAGGACCGGGGTCCAGAGCAAATGTTGTGGTAATGGCTATGTGTTGCCAGTGGGCACAAGACACACACGGACATCTTCTGAGCCCAAAGAGCCTAGGAGCTAGCATCCCCTTATCTCCATGGGAGTGGGGGACACTCTAAATGTGCAGGTCACCCATGGGGCAGAGCATACGCATTTTTCAGACATTGACTGGGGCCTGGGCATGAGTGGAGGGCTGTGCTATAGAACCCAGTCTGCCAGAGGCAACTCAGGCAGGCAGGGCTCGGAGGCACTGAGCCCTGAGAGCTGGAAAGCTGTGATACTGATGTCACTGATGTTTTTTACTAGCCTTGCTAATGGGGTTCGATGTGGTGGTTCCATGCATGCCTGCAGAGTACACTGCCCCATCTAGCCTCCCTTATTTATTTTTACTTTTCTCCTCTCATATAATTACTCTAATAATTACTAATATATTTTCCAGGCTATTGTTGTTGTTAGTGTTTGTGTAGGAGAGAAAGCTTTTCTTGGCTTTCTGTCTGGCTTATCTCACTTAACATAATGCCCCCATTCCACCCATTTGCTTCAAATGACACAGTACTTCTTTCTTTATGGCTGAATGGACTCTATTGTAGATACCATACCTAGGCTGATTAACCGTGCCGCCTATGTCTGTCTTGTTGCAGAAACAACCGAATCTCCATGACAGGGGCCTTGAAGTTGGGGCTGGGTCTGCAAGTCAACCAGACACTGCGGATTCTTATTGTAAGTTTGAGCCTGGTTGGAGAGGGAGGCTCCAACACAGACTGGCCCTGTCTCTCTTCCCACAATCCTTTCCCCCACCAGCGCTCCTGCTGCAGAGACAGCATATGGGCATTTCTGGGAGAGAACCTCCTAGCTTCTTGTGACCACTGCTAACCCCTGACTCTTCCTTCCCACCCTTTTCCCAGTGGCCGTGACAGCTCCTTGCCATCCTTTCTCCTGCTCAAAGGAGTTCCACTGTGGGGAGGGTAGCCAGTGCTTCCCTAATTTACTTTCATCTTCTCTGGACTTTTGCTGTCCTTGATAAAACCCAGGGTCAGCTCAAGGGTACTGATTGGCCACAGTTTAGACATGCTGAGGTTTTTGTGTGTTCAGAGGTTCCTTTCCTCAGGTTTGCAGGAGGTGAGTGGGCAGTAGACAGGGTGATAGCAAAGACAGAGGGAAGGAGCCAGGTAAGGTGATCAGGTCCCAGCTGTACCAAATGTGCGGGGGAGGGGGCAATTCCATCTCCTGTGACATAGGAACCAAGAGCTATTTCAGGCTTGGGGCCATGTTTCCAGCCATCTGTTAGACAATGTCCAAGTCACAGTGAGTCTCAGAATCCCACCTGGATGAACTACCCACTTCTTCCGGGGTTGGGGCTCACAGCTCACCTCTGCATCTGCAGAGTTCCTTGCTGGATCCTCTCTCTTCTCACCTCCTGTCCTTGAGTCCCATTGACCTTGTTCACCCAACACCTGGTGATCTTTCCCAATCTGAAGCATGCCCTGCTGTGAACCTTCTTTTTATTATTGTTGTTTTGGTTTTTTTTTTTTTTTTTGGTTTTGGTTTTGTTTTTATGTGCATGTGTGCCTGGGTATATAGATGTAGCAGGGCACCAGGTCCCCAAGAGGATGCTTGGTACTGAACCTGGCTCCTCTATAAGAGAAGCAAGTGTCTTAACTGCTGAGCCACTTCTCTGGCACTTTTGTTTTTTGTTTAAAAATTTTAAAGATTTATTTATGTTTGAGTATTTTTACTTGCATGTATGTCTGTGTACCACATGTATGCCTAGTGCCCTCAGGGGGCAGAACCCTGGGATTAGTGTTACAGACAGTTGAGAGCCACTATGTGGGTACTGGGAATTGAACTCGGGTCCTCTGGAAAACAGGCCAGTGTTCTTAGCCACTGAACCATCTCTCCAGCCCCTAGTAGCCTCTTAACTTGGTAAGTCTTGAACCTTGAGTCCTCCAGCTTCTACCTCCTGAGCAGGGGGATCATGGGTATGGGTCCTCATAAAAGACTCTAGTATCCCAGTGATTTCATCTTTCTTAGATTTCCAAGAATCCCATTAGAAGTGAAGGATATGTCAGTCTTCTTAAATCTGTCCGGAACAACAGATCATCTGCCTTGGAGCTACTGGACCTCTCGGTAAGGGCTTCTTCTAATCCTTTTACAATCTGCCAGGAGCTCTGTGAGCTGCTGACATCTCTATATTAGAGGGACAATGGGAGTTAGCTGTCTTACTCTGCCCGGACACACTACCTGGCAGATGTGTCATTCCAGCCCAGGCCTGTGCTCCATAAAACCACTCCAACTCTGTGCCATTGTATGTTGAAAGTATATAATTTAAAATTTTATGTTATAGGGGTTACAAATAAGATGTTGCCTTGAGTCTCTGAAAGACTTCATATTTTTAAACAGTCTTTTACTTTATTTTATTTTGAGATGGAATCTCTCTATGTAGCCCTGGTTGTCCTAGAAGTTACTATTTAGACCAGGCTAATCTTATATACTGGTATGCATACCCACAGAGATCTGTCTGCTTCTACCTCCCAAGTTCTGGGATTAAAGGTGTGCTACCACACCTGGTTTTTAAACAGTGTTAAGACTGAAAGACAGAAGAGATGCCAGATCTCCTAGAACTGGAGTTACACCGACTCTTGTAAGCTGCCATGTGAATGTTGAGAACCAAATTCAGGTTCTCTGCAAAAACAGCAAGCACTCTTAACTGCTCAGCCATCTCTCCAGCTCGGCAACTCCCTCATTTTATACTTTAAAAAAATTTTAAACCTTGTCTCAAAAAACAAACAAAAACCACTTAAAAATTGAAATATAGGCCTGACCGTGGTGGCACACACCTTTAATCCCAGCACTCGGGAGGCAGAGACAGGCAGATCTCTGTGAGTTCGAGGCCAGCCTGGTCAATAGAGCAAGTTCCAGGACAGGCTCCAAAGCTACACAGAAAAACCCTGTCTTGAAAAACAAACAAATACAAAATAAAAATAGAATTATGAGATGAGATGTAGACCTGTAGAAAGTATTTGCATGGGGGCTGGGTGAGATAGTTCAGCAATTCAAAGCACTTGTTGCACCTGTAGAGGACACAAATTCAATTCCCAGCACCCACATGATGGCTCCCAACCATCCATAAGTCCAATCCCAGGGGACTCTGTACCTTCTTCCAGACATGCATGTGGTGTACAGACATACATACATTAAAAAAACTCATACACATAAAGTAGTAAAATAAAAAATAAACCTAGAAAAATAAAAAGAAAGTACTTACATGAAAGACTCCAGCAATACTAATTCTCTTCAACCCATTTATTTAGTTTTTTTTTTTACGTAATCCCAGTACTTGGTGAGGGGGGATGTAAAATTCAGAGGTTCAGAAGTTCAAGGCTGGCATCAACTATGTAGTGAACTTGACACCAGACTATACTACACGAGTCTTTGTCTCAAAATATAAACAAACAAAAGCCAAAAAAAACCAAAAACAAGATTGAAAGCTATACATAGATTAAATACAGCTCTCAAATAGCACACACTCATGTAATTAAGCTGAAAGACCCCCCGAAGAGGTACTTTCGTAGAAGGAGACCCGCACCCAGGAATCAGCGAGACCACGAACTTGGATGCAAAGGCAAGAGGCTTTATTGGAGATACGGGTACCCGGGCGACTTAGCTTCTGTGTGG